GTGGGAAGAGGAGCTGGGCCTGGCTCTGAGGCTATGAGGGTTGGGACTCCTTGCAGGGAGTGGCAATGAGTGACAATGGGAAGGCCAGTCTGGGCCTCCTCACTCCTCCTCCAGGACCAGATGGGAACTGGGACTAGGGAAAAAGGCCCAACTGGGGCGGCGCAAAAGAGAAGGACTCGGTGAAAGCAAGGAGGCTGCAGCCGTCGGCTCATTTGCATCATAAGTGATTGGTTTTCCCTGCTCGTCCTTCATTAGGACACAATGGACAGTTGTTTGCTGGCGCAGCAGATCCATTTACCAAAGGAGAGAGGAGACAGAGCACAAGTGACCGCTGGGCAATAGCGCTGAGGGGAGGGCAGCCGCCTCCCTCCCCTGCGTCCCCCCAGGCCAGTGGGACCGTTGTTCTCACACAATGTGAAGGGATCTTAGAGAGCAAACCACTCCCTCATTTTACAGAGGAGGGGACTGAGGTGCTCAGAGGGAGCCAGGCTTGCTAAAGTCAGCGGGGAATTCATGGCAGAACTGGGGCTTCTAGAATCTCAAGTCTGGATTCCAGGCCTGGCGTGGTGGTTCATGGCTGTAATCCCAGCACTTTAATGGCAGGAGGATCTCCTGAGGCCTGGAGTCGCAGCTACTGGGGAAGCTGAGCCCCAGATTTTGAGATTACAGTGAACTGTGATCGATCCTGTCACTGCCTTCCAGCCTGGGTGACTGAGCAAGACCCTGTCTCAAAAATAAATAAAGTCTAGATGCTAGACTCTCATTCCAGGGCTCACTTCAGTTCTCTTCGATACTTTCTCCACTCCCCATTCCTGTCCTGTGGTTCTGTCTCTGTGGTCTCTATCCTGTTCCGGGCCTTGGTTCCCATCATTCTGTCTCCTGTGTCTGTCTACCTAATTTCTTTCTCTATTCCTGCCCCTCTCTGTATCTTTTCCTCTCAGTGTCCAGGCAGATAGGATAATTACTAAACTTCTAATTAACCCCTGCCCTAACGAGGGTAGGTCTGGCAGGAGAGGCAGCAATTTGGAAACTGTCTTAGTGTGTTTTGGGGATAGGTGGGGAGAGAGCAAACATGTGTTGGGGCCTATTATAAACCAGGCTCTAAGACGCACACTGTATCTCATTTCACACCTCTAGTCTTGCAAGGTAGGTGTTCTTAGAGACAAAGAATGAGGCTCAGAGAGGTTGAGGAACTTGCCAGCACCCAGCTGGCAAATGGCAGCTGCCTGCCCCCAAACCTCCATCTTCCCACCTTGCACTGGGCACAGGGTCTTACCCAGGGTGAGGAGCCACCGATTCCAGGCTCAAGTAAGGCACAACCTCCCTGAAGGAGGCTGCTCGAGGCAGCAACTGCCTCCCCCCAGCACCCTCTCCTCCCTCTGACTCCCACCTGCCTCTGGGCCCCATCTGCAGGGTGGGGAAATCTCACACATGCACACTTTCGCCCCTGGGGGAGTGGGGAGGCAGTGATCAAGAGAGAAACCTGACAAATCCAAACCCTGGGGGTCTCCTCCCACTCACAGGACCCGTCTGCCCCTCCCCTTTGCGGGTGAAGCCTGCCAGCGTCTGTGTGTCTGTGTCTGTTCCATTGTGCGCTGGGGGAAGGGGAGAGTCAGGGTGAGTGGGTGTCTGTGCATGAACATAAGGCCTCCGGGTTCATTCTGACACTGAATGAAAAACTCACCAATTATTCGTCCAATCTCATTAATATGCAGACAGACATCTGTTATTTAGGAGTCAACAGCAGAGGCATTTTCTTGGGGGGGAGGGGCACTTATGTACATGGCTCTCTCGTCTCCCTGGCTGCTGGGGGGTAGCTGCTTGGGAATCACCCTACGCCTCCTGACCTGGAGTGTCCCCTCTCTCTGACACTCACCCGCAGCCTGGAGGAGAGCAAGTAAGGGATTCACTAGAGATGGAGGGAGATTTGGGAACCAGCTGGAAGGAGGGAGGTAGGAGAGGAGTTGCCCTGTGTAGAAGAAACTCTAAGAACAAAGAGCTGAATCCATTCCTGGGCAAGCGACTGTGGATTTGGGGATAGAACTGTACCGGGATTACTGCCTTACTGGGCACCTCAGGGACATGACCCCTTCCCCAGCTTCCTCAGCCTACAGGACAAGTCTGACTGTATCTGGGGTGGTCACTATGGAAACATGGGGTCTTCACCCACAGACTTCAGAAAAAGTAACAAGAGGAGTTCAGAAAAATGGAAACCAAGGGACCTCAACATTTGGAGGAGTCACCAAAGCTCTCTCCTGCCCCCAGGATCATGTGAGAACAAGACACAGCCACCTCCCCCTTCCTCCAGCCTCCCAATCCGGGCACAAAATTCCCCCTTTCCTGATTCTCTCAGACCCAGCTTAGAAGCGCTCACCCCTGTCTGTCTTGGTTGTAAGGAATGAAGGTTGACATCAGCCCGTAAAGACACTATGAAGTAGACTGGTGATCAGCTCCCTTTTCTAGGTGTGAAAGCCGCGGTTCAGACAGATGCTGGGACTCGCCAAAGGTTCCCCAGAGAGAAGGCAGCAGGGTTGGACCCAGGCCCTCAGACTTCTGCCTCCAAACCTTAAGCTCTTTCCATGACTGCCCCTCCTGGGAGAGCTGGAGTCACAAGGGGCCCACTCACAGCTGAAGTGTTTCAGGGGTTAGACTGAGTCCCCCTCTCCCCACCCCTATCCTCCTCGCAGGCAGGCTGATTGCCTAGGTTAAGAAACACTGGCAGCATCACAGCGTGATTAGTTGTTTATTTAATTAAATGATTAACGAGGCTACATTGTTTCCCAAACGAGTGTCTAATTTGTGGGGGAAACAGCTGCAGAGGAGGAAGCTGGGTCTGACTCCTGCATCTGGGGTGGGGGCAGGAGCAAGTCCCCTCCCTCCAGCCTGCAGGGGCCTTTGAGGATCCAGGAACCTCCTCATTCCCTCCTCCCACCCATGGAGCTCCTCAGTCCAGAGGCACAGCCTCCTCCCCTGGAAATAAAATGCTGGGCAGCCCAGATCTGCAGAGGGGACCAAAATCTGTTTCCAGTGGTACTGGAAATGTATTAAACTTTGGGGGTTCCTACAGCTGATTTAGCGTCATAATTATGTTTGCTTTTGGCGGATATTGAAATTCGTTTGCATTCCCTGAGCGCACATGGCAGGAGAGGGAGGCTGGGCGAAGAGAGGGCTACAAACACTCCACACTTTGGTGGCTGCAGGCTTGAGCCTGCTTTGTATGGACAAGTCCAAAGTGGAAAAGACAAGCCACTCAGCCAAAAATCCCAAGTCAATTTTTATTTCAGGTCCCTGGGAGGGAAGGGTCAATCCTCCTGGCCAGGCCTGGGAGCCCCAGCCCTCTCCTGCACCTCAGCCCAGGACGGGGGTCCTTGAGGAGGGTCTCAGAGTCAGTCCCTAACCAGGTCACAGTTTGAGGGGGTGGTTATGCAAGGGCACTTAGATAGTTTCCAGTGCCCTTGAAGTTATCCTAGAGTCCTTCAGATTGGCTGAGACAGACCAGGACAGGAGTCCTGCTCACACGTGTGTGTGTGCGCGCGCGCGCGTGTGTGTGTGTGTGTGTGTGTGTGTGTGTGTATGTGTGTGTGTGTGCCGGGGAATGCCTGGGATTTCCTTTCCTCGCAAGACTGAAGCCTGGCATGGGGAAAGGAGAAGCTATTTTAAATGGCACACCTCAGGGTCAAATCCCCCAGTCCCTCCCCTCCTCAAACAGATAACCATCTGTCCAAAACACAAATCCGATCACTTCACTCTCTGCTTGAAATCCTTGGTGGCTCCTCACTCCTCAGAGTGAAGTCCTGGTTCCTGCGTGGGCCCTGCAGTAGCCTCGGTGTACCTTCCCAGCCTTGTCTGCTCCTTGCCACGGGAGCCCCCACATTGCCACGCTCCTCATCTCCACGCGTGTACACATGCTGTGCCCTCTGCCCAGACTGCCTTTCCTACCCTTCCCCCGCCTGGCAAACTCCTCTTCGACCCACAGGAGCTGACTTAGAGGACTGGCTTCCCAGGCTGTAAGGAGCTCCCACAGTCCCCCGTACGTGTGCAAACATCCCTCAGCCCAGGCACCCTCACGCCTGGGGTACCTCTCTTCCCCACTAGGCTGGCCTCCAGAAGTTCAGACACTGGTCCTTGCAGGTTCCCAAGCCAGAGTGTGGTGCACAGTTCATGTTCAGTATGTGTTTGCTGAATGAATGATGGAGGCATGGGCTGTAAATTAGGGTGGGATCCCAGCAGACAGGAGGGTGAGGTCTCTCCTAAAGTGTATCTGGGAGAACTGGCTGGGGCTGGGGGAGGGGAGGGCCAGGGATGGTTCCTGGGGGAGAATGTCACCGAAAAGAGGCCAGTGGGACCAGAGCCAGGGAGGGAATACAGGACAATCTGAAATCCGACTCCCGAGAAAACAGACCAGCACTGTCCTTCCTGACAACAAGCGTTCTGGCCCTCCCTTCCACCAACTTTCCTTCTCTAAGGGATGGGTAGGGGTGACCCTAAACTCACAGCTGATGCTCCCTGAAAATCATCATGGAGCTCAGGATGGAAGGAGGGAGACAGCCCCAGTCCCTGCCTCTGGGGACCCCAGAATCAAACTGCTAACCCCTTGGGAACTTTGTCCTGCAGAGGGTCAACTTCTGTGATGTGGAGGCCTTGGATGCTCCCCCTACCCCCCACAACCTCCAGGGCAGCAGCAGGCTCCAGGCCAGGGGAGGAGATGGTGAGCAGGACCCCCAGGCTGAGTCATGCTGGGAAATTGCACATCAGTCCACTCTAGAACCCCCAAATGGCCTGAGGATTGTCCACCTCATTAACTGGGATGAACAGTCCTAAAACATCTCAATCTCCCACCTCTGGCTCCTAAAAGGACACTTCTGATCCAACCCATGGCTTTTTCCTCTTCACCTGTAGACATGGATAGGAAAGTTCCCTCTGAAGTCTAATTTTCCCTCTTGCTGCTAGAGATTGGTAGATTGGTTTTTTTAAAAGCAACAAAACTAAAGCCACAGCCGTTTTCCGTGGACATGGGCTTTATTGGGGACTCCTGGGGAAGGGGAGGAGCTAGGGTGGGTGGGTTGATGGGGCGACAGGCTTCTCTTTTTTAATTTAGTGTATGTTGCATGGAGGTTAGGATGTGTAAGAACAGCTGTAGCAGTGAGAGGAAAGGAAGAGAGAAGATCATAGAATGGACACGTTCCTTAGTGAAGGAATCCAGGACCAGCATATGGGGACTAGGGGTGGGGAAGGAAGGTACCCTTCATATAGGAGACTTAACCAAGGTCACTGTTTGATGCCAGCTTCCCTAACCCCCATCTGCCCCATCCCAGTTCATGCCTCACATGCCTGCCCTGTTAGTTCCCTCAACTTCCATTGCAGACTAGGGGGATGAGGATGTGGGGGGTGGTGACACCCTTCTACCCTCCAGCACCCTCGCCAAGGAGAATTACTTGCTCCGACCTCCCAGCCAGGATCAGGAAGCCCAGGGTGCAGGCAGGAGCACAACTGTGTCCCTCATCACCCCTCTGCATGTTCTCCCCCACCCTGGCCCCTCACATGAGGTTGCAGCTCTTGGCTCGATCCTTATGTATCTCGCCCTCATTCCCCCGGTCTGGCCGTCCTGACAGCTGAGCAGACCGCTGCAGTCCCCGACGTGAGTCAGTACGGCGCAGCTGCCTATGACCACGGCCAAGGGAGGCCACCGTGGCCACATGGAAAACATCCCTGACACTGCGCTCAGAGGACCGGGAGGAGCACTCAACGTAGGACACAGCCCCCACCTGCTTGGCCAGCACGGAGCCCTGGAAGAGAAGTGCATGGGAGAAAGTTATGGGGCTTAGCCTGCAGCTCAGCAAGGAGCATGGAGGCTGTGGGCTGGGGTTGAAGGTCACGGCTGGAGGTGGTCAAGGGATCAGGTCAGAGGTTAGAGGCCAGGGCAAGGGATGAGTCAGGCAGGGTGGTTTCAAATCAGAGATTGGCAGGGGTAGAGGTGAAAGGTCTAGGCTGGGCTTAGTTCAGAGGTCAAGGGTCCCACCTGCTCATGTGTCACAGGGATAAGCCTCTGCTTGGACAGCTCCCTCAGTGTGGCCAGGTCAGTCCGCATGTCCAGTTTACAGCCAACCAGCACAACCTTGGCATTGGGGCAAAACTCCTGAGTCTCCCCTTGCCACTATTTGGGGAAGAAAATAGAGTTGTGAAGGGGTAGAGGGAGACAGAGGGTGAACCCCTGCTCCATGCCAGCAGCACGCCCTTCCTTCCTCACAGCACGCAGAAACCACCCATTCCTCTGCACTCTCCCATGTCAGGCAGGAGGTGGGAATGGTAGGCTTGGGTCAGAGCAGGATGGGGTGAGAGAGAAAGGGAGAAGAGGGATGGGGTGGGGATGAAGGGTCAGGGCCCTCCTTCTCCCTCAGTGGCCATGAGGGGTCTGCCAGCCTGGAACCTTCCCATTCCCTCTCCCCTTCCCCATACTCTCTCCTGGGAACAGATCCGTCCCACACTCCCCTCCCCCACCTGGGAACTGGGGCTGCCCTTGCTGACTTCTGTCCATTCACCAGGGGCTTTTCTCATGGAAATAGGGGCCTAGAGAGGAGGCCACTGGGCTCTCCTGAGCTGGGGATCAGCATTCCCATCCCCTCCATCTAGGGCTCCCATCCCCAAGGAGATGGAAGAGCAGATAAGGAATCCCTGGAGTACTCCTCCCTTCCCTTCCCCATCTCCCTCAGTGCTGCATCCAGCTCTGGGGACTGATTTTCAGAAGGGGGATGTGGGAAGGTGGGGGTGGGGCAGAGTTAGAGAGGGATGAGGGCTTCACCCACTATCCAGCTGATGGCCATGCCCCAGCCATCACACCACCCCCCCCAGCTCATGTGTCAGGACCATGGGATCCGGTCCCCATCAGTCCAGCTTCCCCAGGCTCCCACCTTCTTGAGGACACTGTCCAGTGTTTCTGGTCGGCTAATGTCGAAGCAGATGAGCACAGCGTCAGAATCAGGGTAGGCCAGAGGCCGGACATTATCATAGTAAGAGGAACCTGAGGGAAGACAGGGAGTAAGGGGACAGATGAGAGGACTGAATGGGTGGCAGGCCTGGAAAGGAATGGGCGACCTTAGACATCCTGGTCAAGGGGTGCTGGGAGCAATCACCAATACCCTTCATGGCATCCGTGTTTCCCAAGGAGGGGAGCAGGTACAGGAGAGGTGAGAGGGTGGGAAAAAGCTCTCTGCTTCCCTAGGGCTTTCTCTAAAAGTAGCAATCCTGAATCTTTTCTGAGTTTTGGACCCCTTTGAGAAGCTCATGAAATCTATGGACATTCTCACAAAATTTTGCATGTGCTTTCTGGGCTTTGACGGACATCTAAAGCCCTCCAGGGAACTCATATAAAAATAAAAACCCTCCCCATTTTGGAGGGAGGGAGAGGAGAAAGAGGGGCAGAGAAAGCACTCTCCCATCCTCTTAGGACTTGACCTCAGATTTCTCTAGTCCAGTATAGACAGTGTAGAGAAACGGTTCCCATGGCCACCTCCCCACCCAGGAAATTCTAAATGTCTTTTCTAAATCCAGTCCCATGTCCTAAGAAACATGTTCCAAAATAAAAGCCATTCCTTCCCAATTTTCCCAGGTAGGCAGAACCCAGCTGAGGGCTCAGATACTAGTCTTTCTCCTCCAGAATACGGTTTCTGTCAGGCTCAGCCAGCCCTGCCTCAGTATCCCAGCAGAAAATTGATTTTTCCTTTCTCCTAGAATTGGATGGATGGGTTGGGCTGACCAGGAACCTAAGGGTCTAGCCAAGGGACAGGTCAGGGTGAGCGGCCCTGGAAGTCAGGGTGACCCCAGGGGACTTGGCTACCTGAAGTGTCCCACATGTTGAGCTCAATGCGGCGCTTGTCGATCTCAAAGCTCGCGGTGTAGTTCTCAAACACGGTGGGGACATAACTCTGCAGACATGCATGGGTCCACATGAGATCCTCTCTCCAGTCCTCACCCCAGACAAATGCCCTCCTCACTCCCACACCCAGTCCATCCCAGCCCCTGGACACAAGTTGGTCTGGGATTGGGCAAAGGGGAGATCCTGGAAGCTGCTCCCTCCGAGAAATCTCTGCTAGGCTCCCAGAACCTTGCCCGGTCCCTTCAGCCCCCTAGTTCTTCCTCTGTCCGTTGCCCAGGACTCCGACATTTCCCCCCCCCCCGGCGCTCCTCCTCTGGTTCTCTCAAACCCCATCCATCTCACCCTGTTCCCTAATTCCTCCCACCCCAATCCTCTGCAGTCTTTCCAAAGCCCCCAACGCCACCCCCCGGCCCTCCGAGCCCGGGTCTCTTGTCCCTGGTTACCCTGGCGCCCGTTTCCATCCGTCTCCCGGGCCCCTGTCATCCACCCCCAGCTGCCTTAGCGCACCGCTCCCAAGACGCGGGTCCCTCACCCCGGGGTAGGCGTCCTTGGCGAACACCTGCAGCAGCGCCGTCTTGCCGCACTCTGCGTCTCCCACCACCACGATCTTGCAGCGGCCGCTCTGCCCCTCCATAGTCCCGGCTACGCGCCGGCCTCCCACGCCAGCCCCCTCCCGGGCCCCGCCGCCGCCGCCGCTGCCGCCACCTCCCCCGCCGCTGCAGCTGCAGCCGCTCGGGCCGCCGACACCGGCATCTCGCGGGCCCGCGCCGAGCCCCCTCCCGGGGCCGCGGCCCCCCTCCGCCCCGCCCCCAGCCCGGCAGCCGCGCCCCCGGCCCCGCCTCCCACCCGCACGCCCGGGGGGCGGGGCCCTGGGAACGCGGGCCGGGAAACCGAGGCCCGGGAGCGGGGATCTGCGCTGCTGTGGTCTAAGGGGTCCCTGCCGGTTTGGGGCGGGCCGGACCGGCTTACTTGACTTCTTTAGGGATAGGGGCAGGGAGGAGTTCGAGTGAAGTTCTGAGGGTTAGGGTGTGAGCGGCACACGCGCGAGGTTAGGGCCTTCTTTGTGCCCACGCGTGCACGCAGGTGTGCTAGTGCGGACACGCGCGGTGGCAGCCATCCACTTCTTGAACACAGGGGGGCGAGAGATAGCAGGGCAAGGAGGGAGTCTCTTTGGTTTTCACTCCCGCCTCCACGCTCATGTCCCGGCAGGGGGTCTGGGGAAATGCGAGGATGAACTCCAACACACGCACCCGGACAGTGGTGACATCATAGCTTTCCGTCCCCATGGCAACGGGCGGCTGGTTCTGGGGTTGTGGTGACTTAACAGCAGGCCTGGACTAACAAGGAAGCGTGGACTGAGCTCCTCCAGCCAAGCGCTGGGTGGAAAGTTTTGGGGGAGCTGCGTCCTCTGGTGGATGCTTGGGGAGACAGAGATGGGGTCGAAGAAGAGAAAGATACAACTGCCAGAGTGACAGCCCTACTGGAGCCAGAGCCAAGCCCAAAAGTCATTGCAGGCTTGATTCTGAGTCTAACAATAATAAAATCACTGCTTTGTATTTGCATGCCATCTTTTACTTTTTAAAAGTGCTTTCTTATATCGAGGATATTCGGTTTAATTTTATATTGTTCTAAATGACCCTGTAAAGATGACTAGAACACGCAGCAGCATCACCATTTTACAGAAGGGAAACTGAGGCACAAAGCATTAACCAAAATCAAATAGGAAGTTTTAAAGGCTCGGTTTCCATGCTCCTAGTTTGCCACTGCAAGACCACACTGAATAGAAGTCTCATCCCTCCGTGGGTTATGGGTAGAGTCAGAGCCTGAGGCACAACTTAGCTGGGTTCCAGTCCACAGGTGGCTGGCTCCCCAAATCTGATGTAAGCTCGTTCTAGGATTGCTGGAGTACAGTGGTCTCATCACAGCCCACTGCAACCTCAAACTCCTGGGCTCCAGTGATGCTCCTGCCTCAGCCTACTGAGTAGCTGGGACTACAGGCGTGCACCACGACGCCCGGCTAATTTTTCTATTTTTGTAGGGACGGTGTCACTCTTGCTCAGGCTGGTCTCGAACCCCTGAGCTCAAGCGATCCTCCAGCCTCGGCCTCCCAGAGTGCTAGTATTACAGGCGTGAACCACCGCGCCTGGCCCCCTTAACATAGTTTTTAGTTTGCAAATCACAGTCTGCATGACCGCAAGAATGTTCTTAGGAGTATCTGTTCCCCGACGTACCCGGTCTCTCTTTTCGCGTTCTTCAGGCTTGTGCAGCGGCGGCCCTGGCCCTTTAAGACTGAGCGAGAGGCCCCGCCCCGGCCCGGCGCCCCGCCCCGCCCGCTGGAGCGCGGGGCCAAGGCTCTTCCTGACGCGCGCCCCGCCCTCCCCAGCTGCGCACTCGCGGTCCAGCTGTGCGCACACGTCGGGAGTCCCAGTCATGTCCGCGGAGAGAGAGGCAGCCGAGGCGGCCACCGTGGAGGCGGCGGCCGAGGCAGGGGCCGGGGAAGACGCCTCTCCGCAGCCCCCGAAAGCCGAGGCAGCGAACGACCCCCACCCGCCGGCGGCTCCGGAAGGGGCGGCTGCCGCCTCGCCGCCGCCTTTGCGCTGCCTGGTGCTCACCGGCTTTGGTGGCTATGACAAGGTGAAGCTGCAGACCCGGCCCGCCGCACCCCCGACCCCTGGGCCCGGCCAGCTGACGCTGCGTGTCCGGGCCTGCGGGCTCAACTTCGCCGACCTCTTGGCCCGGCAGGGGATGTATGACCGGCTGCCGCCGGTGCCTGTCACACCGGGCATGGAGGGCGCGGGCGTCGTGATCGCCGTGGGCGAGGGAGTCAGTGACCGCAAGGTGAGCGGGGCAGGGCAGGGAGGAAAGGGAGGGCTGCGCAGGCCACCGGACAGGGGGCACGAGTGGGCGAGCGCCGGGGGTGTGGCATGGCGGGAGAAACTGGCACGGACCTGGGTGGACGGGCATGGAGAATGTAGGAAAGGAACTTATGTTTTGGGGCTCTTGGAGAACGGGACTTATTTAGTGGGGGAGATGGAGTTATCGCCCCTTTCCTAACCGTTTTTAGTTGTGGGCGCCGCCGCCCAGAAGCGGCCGCCGAGGTGGTGGTGGTGGTGGGGAGGGGGAAACAATAAGGCGCCCATGCGCATGCGCGCAATGACCCTACCGCCCCTACCCGCCCCCCCATTAAAACCACACCTGTACCCCTGCCCACCAAACACTCCCTGGGTAATTGTGGCCGGTGACCGTGAGTCACGGTTAGTGCCCCCTTTCTCTGAGGGAGCTTGAGGAGCTGTATAGTGAGGGTTGGGCGGGGGCGCAGCGGCCGTGCCAGAGCCCTAGTCACATGCAGCCCCGTGGTCTGCGGGGGTGTGAGGCGGCCCCTCCCCAACAGGGCCAGAGAGACGAGACACGCCCATCATGGAGGAGAGGGAGCTTCGGTCCCCCACCGCTGCCGGCCTTACACTGCCAGTCTGGTTTTGGGGTGGGGGAGGTGGGATTGGATCAACGGATCTTTGTTTTGGACTTTGTCTCCCGTGACTGCAGTATCTCCTCCTCCTGTGACTCAGTCATCGGGCCACGAGCCGGGGCTGCCCTTGGGAACATCCGGGCGGAACCCCTCTCCGCCTTTGTAGCGAGGAGGACCCCCATTTCAGAAACCCTGGTGTCTGTCGGGGATTTGGACTGGGGTGGGGAGGTGTGGCACTGTGAGCAGGTTGGCCCAGCTCTGCCGGTCTGATTCTACTTCTCATTTATCATTAATCTTGGCCACAACCCTGGACACCGGAGAGTTCCAAATGATCAGATTTTTGAGAGACCTGGGATGAGGCCTCAGTGAGTCATTTGCTTAGGGGTTTCTTTTCAAATCAGGCCCCTGCAAGAGAGGCCCCTCAGATGCAGCCAGACCTGCCAGCCCCAGCTACCAGAGCGGGATTTGTTGCAAACAGCTCCTCCTTCAAAGAGCTCCTCCTTCAGGCCTTCTCCCTGAATTCAGCTCTGGCCCCACCCTCTCACTGACTTCTAAATAATCCCACTCTTCAGAAGGTGCTAAGAGGAATTCTGGTGGGGGGAGAGGGAGTTGTAATTCATGTTACCTAACCTCCCCTCCCCACACTTTCCGCCTGGTAAATACAGGATATCCTGTCCAGGGCAAGAATCTGATGTAAGAGCCTGGATTCTGTGGGGAGGGCCTTCCCTCTGTCCTGCCTCCCTCCCTGCTGATATCTGGGCTGGGGAGGGGTCATGTGGCCCTGATCTGTGATGGGCGGAGGGTTAGGCATGAGCCAGGGTAAGTGAGATTTGTTCTGCGCCAAATCTAGCCATGACCTTGACTGACCACTGCACTCTTCCCAGCTCTTCTGGATTGTTTCTGCACCTGCTAGTCTTGAGTCCCAGGTAAAGGACTTCAATCCCCTAGACCTCATCTCAGGCCAGAACTTTCAGGGAAAGACCCCAGCCTCCCCTCAGGCCTCCTCTTCAATGGAGTGTGGGAGTTTGAGGACATGAAAAGGGACATATGTGGGAGTCCCATCCCCCTTCCCCATAGACCCTAAGTCTCGTTAATATACAGAATTCCCATCATTCCTGGCAGGGACCAAGACAGACCCAGATTGTCCCAGAACAGCACCCACACCTCCCTCTCCATACTCTTCAGAGAGGGAAGAGAGGCCTTCCTTTCTCCTGAGATGCCCTGCTTCCGCCTGCCCTTCTCTGACCCCACTTGCTAAGCTGGAGGAAAAGTTTCTGTTATTTTTGCCTCTGTCCCCTCCTACAAAGAGGCTCTGATGGGGGAAAAAGCCCTTTCCTGGTGGGGGGACTGTGTGGCTCTCCCTGTCCCTCACCCCTCCTGCACCATCCCTGGGTGAAGGTGTTCTCTGGGTTCCCAGTGCTAGCTCAGTACTTCTGAGGTGATCACACCCAGCCCTAAGAGCTCAGAGACCTTTACCTGCGCTCTGGTATGGCCCTTACCACATGCCACCCTCTTCCTTCAGTTATTTGATTGTGTGACTTCCCCTCCTTGCTGCTATTATTATCATGATTATTAGCTAACATTAATAAATGCTTACTGTGTGCTAAAGATCATCGAATGATTTTTTCCCCATTTAATCCTCATAACTGCCCTAATTTACAGATAAGAAAACTAGAGCTCAAAAAGGTTAAATAATTTTTATTTGCCCAAGGTCATGCTACAGTAAACACTGGAACCCATTTTTGAAACCAAAGCAGTTTGATCTCTTCAACAACACTTCATGCGACCCTAACTGTAAGCTTCTTGCATTCAGGGATCTTACACAATAGTGATGTGTGAGATCTGTAAAATGGAGATAAGGATAGTATCTACCTCAAGAGCGGATGTAAGGATTATTTGAACATTTATATACAAAGCACTTGCAGTTGGGCTTGGCCCTCGGTCAGCAGTCAGTAAAGGTGAGGTGGTGTTGATGACGATGATGATATTATTATTAGCGTGACTACCACTGCTGCTTCTACTGCCACTTCGTCTGGAAGAGGGTCTCATACCTAGTGGAAGGTCAGTAGATTGCCTGTGGCTGAATGAATGAGTGACTGAATGATGTTCTTCTTCCATTCTTCAAGGCAGGGGACCGGGTGATGGTGTTTACCCGGTCGGGGATGTGGCAGGAGGAGGTGACTGTGCCAGCGACCCACACCTTTCTGATGCCTGAGGCCATGACCTTTGAGGAAGCCGCTGCTTTGCTGGTCAATTACGTCACAGCCTACATGGTCCTCTTTGACTTTGGCAACCTACGGTCTGGCCACAGCGTCTTGGTACACATGGCTGCAGGTGACAGGTCCCCTCCCTTTGAACTCCTTCCTTACCCCACCCAGATTTCCGTCCAGGCCACTTCCCTGCAGCCTGTCTGGACTGTTGTCATGGCAACACCAGGCTGCCTTGGCCTGTGGCGCCCAGAGGCCTCTGCAGTGTAGTTGCCGTGGCAACATTCAGGCACCAGGTCCAGCCTGGTGTGCTATCCTTAGCAATGTGCCCTTACCAAGCACCCCCTCTTGTTCAGCCACCCTCCCCCAATTCTCAATCATGGAAATTGGACATGGGCCCCAAAATGAGCCTAGACAAAGTGAAGGTGATGGACTGGGTCCTTGGGAGGCTTGAATAGAGAGTGGTGGCCGGGTGGCTCCTCATCCCCAGCTTATGCGTGTCTTGCTGCAGGGGGTGTGGGTATGGCAGCTGTGCAGCTGTGCCGTACGGTGGAGAATGTGACAGTGTTCGGAACGGCCTCGGCCAGCAAGCACGAGGCGCTGAAGGAGAATGGGGTCACACACCCCATCGACTACCACACGACTGACTACGTGGATGAGATCAAAAAGATCTCCCCCAAAGGTGGGGGGCAGGGCACGGGGGAGGGGGCAGAGGGCCAGGAGGGGGTCTCCAGATCTGTGGATCCTAATGCTGATCCTACTGCTCCCCCTACCCTGTGACAGGAGTGGACATCGTCATGGACCCTCTAGGTGGGTCAGATACGGCCAAGGGCTACAACCTCCTGAAACCCATGGGCAAAGTCATCACCTATGGTGAGTTAGAGGGCCAGGGACGGAGAGAGGATGTTAGGGGCCGGAGGTGGGCCTAACAGGTGGGATATTGGGGTCCAAGGCCCATGAGGAACAGGCAGGGAGTCAGGTGCCCTGTAGGGAAGATCAGGGTTCGGAGTGGTCCTGTATGGTGCATTCAGACTGCTGCCTCCTGGGTGCCAGGCACCTTCATTCTCTGGCTTTTCATGTGAGTCATAGTAAATTCTGTGTTATCTCTGTGCCCCTGTTTGGCGATTATTCCTGAACAACCGGTCTGCCTTCCTTGTGTCCTACCTCCCTGGGCTTCTTGGGCAAGGTGCATTTTCATTTTAAAAATATTTCACACAAAAAGTAAACACATAAAGCTTAGAGCAATTTTTGAGCAGCCAGAGTTGGTTCGGGCCTGGTAACCAGCAGGTTGGGAATTATCCTGTCAGTCCCTGGCACTGGTATGGATAATCGCAGGAGGTCCACAGGGGGCGGACGAGCATAGATTCAGACACACAGGGAGGTGCCTGGCACCTGGATCCATGGGCCATGTCACCTCGTCCATCAGGAATGGCCAACGTGCTGACCGGCCCCAAGCGGAACCTGATGGCCCTGGCCCGCACGTGGTGGAATCAGTTCAGCGTGACAGCTCTGCAGCTGCTGCAGGCCAACCGGGCTGTGTGTGGCTTCTACCTGGGCTCCCTGGACGGCGAGGTGGAGCTGGTCACTGGTGTGGTGGCCCGTCTCCTGGCTCTGTACAACCAGGGCCACATCAAACCCCACATTGACTCGGTCTGGCCCTTCGAGAAGGTGAGTGTGATTATTGTGCAGGGAGGGCCTGGGTAGGACCCTTGGGGGCTGGAGTCCCCAGGGGAGGAGTTGGGCTCTTGTTGGAGGGGTGTCGTGGCACTGGGAGCAGCAGCTTCCCTTCCTCCCCAGGTGGCTGACGCCATGAAGCAGATGCAGGAGAAGAAGAACGTGGGCAAGGTCCTCTTGGTTCCTGGTCCGGAGAAGGAGAACTAGGGCAAGGGGCTGGGGGGCCCTAGAGACCTGGGAAGGGGGAAGTTGGGAAGCCATGTCCTGTTGACCATCAGACTGTCGCATTTCATCCTCCATCGTAGTGCTGTGCCCTCCTCCCCTGCAGGTCTCCATGCTATGACTGCTCCCCTGCCCTGTTCTTTCTCTTTGGCCAGGGCTGTGCCCACCCCCCTTCCTGCCCTTGGAAGAGGTTGGGAAGTGACCACTTGGATGTCTGGGCCCTGCCAAGGGGACAGGGAGGGTCAGAGGGAGGCCGGCTGCTTCCTGCCCCCACCCTTTCCCCGGGCCTGCTGTGCTGCTTTCGTCCCAAGGTCAGCCAGTCCCTCCCGCCTGTTCTGTGTGTTTCCACCGCTGTCTCACCTGCCCCCGCCCCTGCCCCACCACCTCCCCAAAGAATCAGAATGTCAGCTCAGGATACGGGGCCAATCTGTGCCAGTCCAGCATGTACCTGTCTTTCCCTAGTGTCCCTTCAGTCTGGGCCGACCAGCGCCCACCTCTGGGCCTGACCAGTCCCCAACCTTGTCCTCTGTCCCCAACTTCTTAAGCACAACTGGGCTTCTTCCACCTCCAGGTTTTCTGCCATTCTTAACCAAGGCTGCCTCTTACAACAAGGGCGGGAATCAGACCTGCTCCCCTAGGTCACCACTCTGGGAGGGATACAGAGCCCCCCACCCTTCACTGAGTTCTCTGGATTTGTTCTCAGTGCCTTAGCGATGAAAACCTGTGCTTGTGTGTGTGGCAGGGGCTGGGGGGCTGTCGCCCACCTCCTTCTCCACCCCTGTACTCCCCAGTGCCTTCCTCGTTCTGGTGGAGCTGGGGTTTCACTCCTCCCCAGTCCCACAACACTGCCAAAAATCTGTGTGTGCGCCAGTGGGTGGGGGCCAGCCCCTAGCCTCCTGGGGGAAGGGCAAGAGCAGCCACCGTCCTGGTCTGTGCCATGTCCTGCCTCTAGCCTGGATGAGGAGAGGGGCGGGGAAGCTTCCTCGGCCTTGCAGATAGGTGTGACATTTAGTAGCCAGAGCTCCCAGAGGCCATGCTGTCTGTTTCTTGTTCTGGGACCAAAGTAAAAATCAAAGCACATTCCCCTTGCAGTCAAGGGAGGCCCGACTGCCTTCTCAGAGCAGGGAGGCAGCTTTTTAAACTCAGCCCCAAACTTTGTTTACATGGGTGGGAGGTGGAGCAGGGGAGTACAGAGATGGGTGGTCAGGACCTGGGTCACTGGGAGCAAAATGGGGATGTCCTGGGCAGAGGGTCACTCCTCTGCTTGCTGAGCTGGGATTAGGGAGGGTTACTGCCCCAGCCGTTGCAATGGGAGGTGGTGGGGATGGGCTCAGCCTCTTCATTGTCTAAATGAGGCCTGTGAAGTGCGATTTTTGCTTTTGTGTATCCCACCCCATTACCGCAGCTGCCTTTGTGTTTGTGTCAATAAAAAGCCAAACCCTGGGTCCTGGATGTTGCCTCTGGGAATGGAGGGACAGGGGCGCTGGGGAAGGCCAGTGCTGCTGGCAGAAAGTCAGGGCTGCCTCTCTCCCCTTAGCCTCCTTCCGTGCCCAAATCAAGTTTCCTTTCCTGAGCAAAATGAGGAAGAACATCATGCCATGCAGGCGCTTTTACTGTTCTCGGCAGCGTTTCGCAATGTGTGACCCCTGCCCCCTGTTGGTGAACATAAAGATCTCTTACATGGGGGCCCTGCCCCAGCCCTGGTTTGAGAACCTTGGCCAAAGGGTGGGAGTGATGGGAAGGGCAGTCCCCTAGCCCTACTCAGAGGCGAAGATGGCCACGCCACGCTGTCCCGGGGGCACAACTGTCAGGGCCTCCACCTCCCCGCCCCCACGGGTAGGCTTCTGGAAGTGGATCTCCAGGATGTCGTGCAGCTCTGGGCCATCCAGGACGTCGGGAATGTTGAGCACCAGCACTGAGCGGGACACTGGCCGGGACCTGACCTGGAAAAGGAGCCAGGAGATGGCAAAGCTCGTGGGAGTAAGGGGCAGGGCTGAGGTGAGGCAGGCAGTGCCCTGGGGCGTGGGGGGAACGCCTGGAGGGGCTGGTGGCAGATAGGCGGTGGGGGGGCTTTGATCCTGCCCCTGGCAAGTTTCTGGCAGACAGATGCGTTACTGGCCGGCCCCCATTCTTCACCCCGCCACTTAGCCACTTACCTCTGCCTTCTGGATGTCCCCACTTACATAGGGGGAGACTGTCAGAGGGACCAGCTCCCCGCCCAGTGGCACTCTGAACTGGCCAGTCTGGCACAGGCGCTGGGCCACTGTGGGGAACAGGGAGGGATGGACCTTTAGCATCAAGCCCTCTCCTCGCTCACGGCCTCATGCAGCCTGTACCCCAGTCTCCCCCGCAGGGCTCTTACCCCCGTCCTTAGCAAAGCCCAGCATGGCACTCCCTTGCAGCAGTTCCCGGGTCTCCACATCACCTCCCCCGTTCCTGGTCTTGCCAAAGAAGATCTCCAGCTTGTCCAGCAGCTCCTCCTCACTCAGCCTGAGGCCGGCAGGAAACCCACTGACCAGCACCCCCTGGCCACTCATCTGGCTGGACACCTAGAGGGAGATAGGAAGGGATGGTCCCAGACACAGCCCCGATTCCCCGTGCCCAGGTACATGGCACCCCTTGCCTGGGCCAGGACCCTGCCATTCTGTCACCTGAATGGTGGTCACCGTGGGCAGCTCCAAGGGCTGGACCTGCACCCGCAGCCGGCACTCCTCCATGTCAATCACATGCTCCTTCTGTTGCAGCACCCGCTCAGCCACTGGTGGCGGGGGGGGACAGGGTCAGTACTGGGGAACCTCCCCACCTCCCTCCTGAGGCTCCCCGAACTCACCTTTGGGGTCGTCGAAGGTGACCAGAGCAGAGCCTCCAGGCAGAGGGCAGCAGATTCGCAAGTTGGAAATCAAAGACTGGGGCACTTTTCTGCCCCGCTGAGTGTCTCCTCGGAATACCAGGGGGATCGCAGGCACTGGGAATGGGAGCTGGAGGTGGGGGAAGAGAGGCTGGTACAGTCTTCAAGGGTAGGGGTGTACCCCACTCCCTCCCTGGAGGAAGGTGCTCCCAGTTCCATCGTACTGATACCTAGTGCCAGGGCCGAATACGTTTGCTGGGAGAAGACGGGATTAATAGACGGATGAGAGTTCAAGTAACATACTTGAAATCACACAGCAAGAAAGTGGTAGGCCAGGAGTAAAACTAAGAACTCGCCAGCGTTTTCTACCAGACCACACCTGGTCTCCCACCTTACCTCGTTTCTGGGCGAGTCCCTGAGCTCCCTCTTCAGCTGCTGCAGCTCCTGCAGCCTCATCTTCAGTCTGGCCTGCTCCTCCTGCAGGGCGCGGAGGGCCTGTTGGAGCAGAAGGGAACAACCGGACATGGGCCTGTTGGAGCAGAAGGGAACAACCGGACATCCACCTGCCTTCCCAGAGGATGAACGAGCCCAGGGCAAGGGGGCTTATTCTGGACTCTCCAGAAGCAGAGTTGATGCTCAGCCCAGAACAACTTGACCCCTGTACCCTGCCTGGGCTGTCCTGGCCCACTCCCCCAGGGCTTGGCTGGACTCCTTTCAGCCACTCTAGGTGGGGCAGGAGCTGCAGCAGCTGCCATAGCTGGTTTGTGGCTGCAGATCTAGAGTTCAACACCACTGATTTGAGCCCCTGCTGTGAGGTGCTGGGCGCTGACACAGCGGTGGAAGATAAGGGTCCTGCCCTTAGGCCTGCCTGATAGTACTCAGATAGTGCCCGGTCACGTGACTGACTGCAAAGGGCAGCAGGAGTCTGGGGGAGGGACCGTCCCAAGGGGCAACACAACTAGGGACTCCTCCAGGAGGAGTGGCTTAGAGCTGCACAATGTCATACAGTGATACCCTTAGCTAACATTTACTAAATACTGCTATGTGCCAGGCACTGTGCTGAGCCCTCCATATGGACTATATCACTGAAGCCTCACAACAGCCGTAGGAGACAGATGCCCTCTTATCCTTAGTTTACAGAAGGAAACTAAAGCTCAGAGAGGTTGAGCAACCCGTCCAGTCACTTGGCCCTGGGCAGTCTGACTCCAGGCCCCACCTTGCTAACCTGTGCTTCATGGTAAAGAAACCAAGCCTGGGGTGGGAAGTAGTTCACCCATCTTCTAGCTTGTCCCTTAACTGCCACACTTTCCACTGTACCAAGCAGCCTTTCAGGCTGGTTGTGATCTGGAGTGGGTCCAAAGAGACAGCTGACATCATAGGCATGGAAGTGACACCAGGGAAATGAACAAATGCACCTTTGTTTATGGGAGGGAGCAGACATCCGCCCCATGGCAGAGTTCACCCTGTGGTTAGGAAGCCGATAAACAAGGTGAGCTCCAAGAAGTGTGAGCTCACAAGGGAAGTCGGCACTCTGTCCTGGTCATCTCTGTATCCCTTGAGTCCAGCAAGATCTCTGACACAGAACAGGTATTCAGTAAATGAGTGTTGAATGAATGAATGAAGTGAATGAATGGTAGGATAGGGGCACGTTACAGAGTGATTGAAGAAATTCCGCGTGAGTTCATTCTATTTTAAGCAGAAGAAAACTAGAGCTTGACCAAATCGTGGTGGTTTGTGAATAGTAAAAAGAGTCCCTAATTATTTGTATTTTTGTAAATCCGAGATTGCAAACTCAGTGCCTTTAAGGGCCAGTTAGATGACATCGACGCGTCAGGGGAGCCATGCGGTGTGATAGAAAGTCCTGGGGACTCTGACAAACTGGAGGGAGCATGTCACCACTGAAGTGAGTGATCTCTTCTCAGCTCTACCCAAGTTTTTACCCATGGAAATGTTCCACTATTCTATAGCTTCCCATTTTTAAGGGAAATCAGAAATCTGGATTTTGATTTGAAAAAGATGGCTCCATTAAAAAAATATATGAAGCCAGGTGTGGTGGCTCATGCCTGTAATCCCAGTGACTTGGGAGGCTGAGGCAGGAGGATCGATTGAGAGCCAGGAATTCCAGTCCAGCCTGGACAACACAGCAAGACACTGTCTCTAAAATAAAATATGCTAGTGGGCTGGATTCAGTCCTGGATTCAGTACATCCTCTTTTTACTTCTGCATTGAATCTTGATCCCATCATACACAGTGTTTGAAAATCTAGTAATTGGCAATTTTAAAAAATATTTATAATTGATAGTTTAATAAATAGAATTTCTTAAAGAACTATTCAAACAGAGGAGTTTAGATTTGATATCAGTAGGAAATAGGGAGCTAGTGAAGATTCCTGACAGGGAGAGTGAAGTGATGGATGTGGTGGTTAAAAGAGCTCCATCCGTCAGTGATGGCAGGATGAACTGGAGTGGGAACCTCAGAGTCAGGAAAACAAATCCAGATTCCGTGGCTCTAACTATGGCTGACATGACAGGAGCTAACCCAGGCTTCTGGCACTGGGCACAGAAGGGACACATGCAGATGAGCGCAGGTCACAAGGAAAGCCTCGAGAGTCCATGGAGTCTTGCATTAAGGAGACAGAAGGGAATAAATCAGAGACAAGGCCAAGGTGTCAGACCTGGGTGTCCCAGAGTCTAATATAATGCCACTGACCCAGCAGGCAGGGGAAGTGAGCCAGGGGTTATTGAGGGCCTGCTACATGACAGGCATAGTCACACTCCATCTCACACAAGTGTCAAAAAGCCCCCTCTGATTCCCCAACTCCCTACTGAAATTTTTTTTTTTTTTGAGACAGAGTCTTACTCTGTTGCCCTGGCTAGAGTGCAAGAGTGCAGTGGCATCATCATAGCTCACTGCAACCTACAACTCCTGGGCTCAAGGGATCCTCCTGCCTCAGCCTCCCAGGTAGGTGGGACTACAAGTGAGCCACTATGCCCGGCTAATCTTTCTATTTTTTGTAGAGACAGGGGGTGGTCTCACTCTTGCTCAGGCAGGTCTCAAACTCCTAACCTCAAAGTGATCCTCCCGCCTTAGCCTCCCAAAGTGCTAGGATTACAGGCATGAGCCACTGCACCCAGCTGAAACTTCTTTCTTAAAGGACCTTCTTAAGAACAACACAGGCTATGCCGGGTGGAGTGGCTCATGCTTGCAATCCCAGCACTTTGGGAGGTCAAGGTGGGAGGACTGCTTGAGGTCAGGAGTTTTAGACCAGCCTGGGCAATATTGAGAGCCTCTACAAAAAATAATTAAAAACAAAAATTAGCCAGGCATGGTAGTGTGCACCTGTAGTCCCAGCTACTTGGGAGGCTGAGGCAGGAGCATCACTTGAGCCCAGGAGTTGTTAGTTACAGTGAGCTATGATGACACCACTGCACTCCAGCCTGGGCAACAGAGGGAGACTGTCTCTCAAGGAAAAAAAAAAAAAATGTAGTCTTTGAGTATACCTAGGCAGGGGTCAGGAGAGACAAAGGAACACAGAGAAGAAAAGGAAGGCGTGGCCAGAGACAAGCAGGGCCAGGGCCAGGGCCAGGATTGGTAGT